TTTATATTGGATAATGTTTTTTTTTTTCAAATCATGTTTGTATTATGTTCCCCGTTTCATATGCGATTTCATTCTGAGCTTGTAACACTGTGAAGTGTGAATGTATCAAAATTCGTCCCGTTGTTACAAGTAAAAATATATGTATATATTTTAATAATATTAATTTAAAATAATAAGATATAATATAATCTTAATTTAAAATAATATTTTAATACATTATTTATTTTTTTTTACATCAGCAAATGACTGTTTATATACGCAAACCGCAGCAGGTCGCTTAATTCCCTGATGCATGTTGTAGAAACCAAACGCTCTCGTAACTCTCTCGTTGTAAACTAGTTTTGGTGGGATGGTGTTGGAGAAATCGGTTTGACGTAAACTCAGATTACCCAGATCCACACGAGTCTTTAAACTTAGGTTACTTTAAACTTAGGTTACGTGTAACTGAGTTTTTACAGAGCTTGGTGAAAAGGGCCCTAACGTTGGAATAGCTTACTCCGACGTTACTCCTTGTTTATTAATACCGAATTTGACTATTCTGAGTTTATACCATGGAGTAAAGTTATTCTTACTCTATTCTATGTTTATTAATAATAGGGTTAGAGTATTTAACTCGTCGAGTACCGGTTTTGCAGACACAATATTATAGAACAATAGCTTGCGATCACCGGTGACCGCTTGGTGTTTGACAGTTTAAAAGTTGGTTAATTAATCTAAGATTGACCTAATTAATTTTTTTATTGGAAGAATAGGACCTGTTTATGTGTTTAGTATGGGAAACGTCGTAGAATGTAGGTAGGCCTATATAAGTACGGAGATAATGGTGGACAATGTTATTTTACTAATGAAGTTCTAAAAATCGAGTTTGGTACCTCCTAGTTTAAGCGTAACATTCCAAAAAAATCTAGCATACACGTAATACTATTCACAAAATTCACATACTTATTTATTTTGTCATAAGGTAACAAACATACTTATATGACGTCATACAGTGAATATTTATGACACCACTTACCTGTGAAAGTTCGCCCCGAGCACCGACTGTCGAGCGTAACTTGCAACCCGCGTTTTGTTTGACTCGTGATGACCGGTGCGGGAAACATCAGAAATTCCTTACGTAGATAAATAAGCACAATTATTTTTAACAAGCTAATAATGACACAAAATATAAGCTCTACAAATCTTAAAACATTGTAAATGCATGAGGACTAAGTAGTTAAGCCACCCAGAACTTGTACAAATGAACGATCGTGTTTGTTTAGATTCTTCGAAAGCGAAATGAAAGTGTTAGGTTTACGAGTAAATCAAACATGTTGTTTCCACACTTGCATAACGTATTGCATAAGTCCTAAAATTAATTGTGAGCCCTGATGGGTACGTTTATTACGACTGATCACGTCTGACCCATGGTTATCGCATTTCACGTCCTAAAATGGCCAGTAAGCCGTCACTTATTGAAGTCGTTCGGGCGATACTACCGGGTCGTTTTAGTCATTTGGATACCTATTTGTAATTGAAATGAACACGTAACAATGGTATAATTTGTTTGTTCTATTTCGAAATTATTTTGTGGTCATAAAAATATATTCAATTCGAACTGTAAAACCTTTACGTGGGTACTTCTTCAAGCAGACGCCAAAGATCGCGATGTACACAAATAAATTAAAACTCCTTCAACTCCTCCGAAAACGGCGTGACTAGTACCTATTATTTGCACTTGACCTTCCTATCGAGGCGCTAACAGAGCCTAGGTCATATTATATGTCTAGACGTGGAGCCTGGGTACCAGTTTCCAACAGTTTCTTGGGCAGGCTCACGTAACTCACTGCAGTTATAGGAGTAGTGTGTTGTACATATTTTGTATTTTGGTGTTGTTTGTTAGTTTAGAGAATGGCTTGTACTTCTTGCTGGGATCGCCACAAATATCTGTACTACCGAATACTAGTACTACTACCGAATGAATTGGTACCTAGATCATTATTATTCGTTATTATGATCATTGCTATATCTATGAGGTATTAGCTGTATAGTAAAGTAGTAAGTAAGCCTGTTTTGCAGTTCTTTGAGCAAGAGCAAAGAGATTTTAACTACAGGAACAAAATCAAACTAAACCAACAAATTAATCTATATTTTTTTCCATGAACTCAGCGTCGGTGTTCACCTTGTGACTCCAGAGCTGCTAGAGCCGGTTTTTTGATAACGAGAATCTTATGATCTAAAGGTAGGATAGCTGGTCAAGATCAGACCATGACGGGTTGGTTGTCACGAGTTCACGAGATGTCGTGGTTCAGTCGCAGCGTCATCGTCACGCACGATTATTAGATAGATAGGTAAGTACTACAAGTACTAGGTAGTAACATTGTGGTCATAGATGTATATGTACCTTATGGCATCGAGCATTTCTTTCTATAATGAAACAAAGAGTTTCCTTTTCTTGTATAGAAGCCCAATTTTATGGATTGTCAGTTTGCATATGTAAGCACCATGTTAGACTATAAGATTTTTTGTTTTAGTAAGGTTTGTAATTAGTAGGTACCTATAATGCGTCAAGCGTGTCTTTGCATTATTCTCACATATACGTACAGTATTGGAATATGTATCACAGACATTGTAGAACATGTCGCGGAGAACCTAACGGGTAACCGGGGCTCCGACTCGACGTGCAGGAGAAGGAACGGGGTGGTTTTTAGTCAGTAAGAGTCTGACACTCCCTTCCGCCTCACCCGGGCGGGAGCAGTCATTCGATGATTTTCCCCCCTTAAAAAAAAAAAGACATTTTAGAACATACTTCTTTAAAAAGAGTAACGAATGCAGTTTCTTGCTCGTTCTTCTCCATTCGAATCTACATTTTGGAATGAGCACCTAGGTTCACTGACGGACTGACTGACAGACTATTATTTATTTTGTACTTGTTGACGTTTCAAAAGTACCAAATTATGGTTTAATTGAAATAAATGCTTTGACTTTGACTTTTGACTTACATTCACACGAATGTTTGATAGGAAAACTTTAAGAGCCAAAAAGTTGGAAGGATTTATAGGAAACAGATGGTACAAATGGAAAGCTTATGGCGATAAAAATCTTTATGCTCCATAATCCACAACACAACCCACCATGTAATGAACTCAACTGATCAAGTGCCTATGGTTAGTATAGGCACTGCTGGGCCATCCAACCATTAAGTACCTATGTATGATTACGTTACAGGTACACGGGTCATACGAAAATACTCGGCGGAGCGGACCGAATTAAACTGTCAAACACCAAGCGGTCACCGGTGACCGCAACCTATTGTTCTATAATTGTGTCTATATTGACGGTACTCGACAAGTTAAACCCTTCCGCGGTTTGAAGTTCATTTTTCAAGCTCATTTTAATTATTTGACTTAACAATCATTTTCTTTATAGGTATATTTAATTTTGATTTTAATTTTATTATGACCTCAATTATTTTATTTTTGTTTATAACTATTTTCATTTTCCTTTTTATTCATTTATTTAAGTTCGATTATACCTCTATGTTACACTTTGATTACAAGATATTTGATGATAAAATGTTAACTTTATTCTTAAAAAAATTTTAACTTCATTTTATCAAAAGTTGTTGTGTCCTTACGGGGTCCATAAATGTAACTTAGCTTTAAGAGTACCTTATTCACTTTATGGTATGCAAATAAATGAATATGAATATGAAAAAGTTTAGAGTTGCCTGTTCAAGTACCCACTAAGTGAGATTGATCAATTTAATTTGTTGAGAACAGATAAAATTTAAGGAGATGCATCCACCACCACCGGCAAACGAAGGTTACCTACCTTTAAATATTTTTTTTAATACCTTCAAATACTAATGAAATGATACCT